TAGTGCAGCAATTGTGAACTGAACCAGTAGCCTGGGCAGCCAGCCTGAAAAACACGGAGCGTATTTCAATCTGTTCGGACATAGCCGAGTCACAGCATGCAAGGCAGGACTTTACGATGACTCACTCTCATTGCCAGAATTACCCATGATGCAGCTGCACTTTTCTGCAAGCATAAGAGTAAAATGGCAACCACAACAGAGCAACATTTTAATGATGCTTTTTGTGATGTCCTATGAAAGACTGTTCATTAATGGAAAGTTTCTTTGAGGGCTTGACATGTTTCACTGATTACAAAACTACAAACAGAGTGCGTTGCTTGGAGTTGTTGTATAACATCTTTAGTTATCTGAATGGTTCTAACCTGATGAGGCTGACCTGTAACTATCAAGCTCTAACAGCGATTACCAGACTGATACGCCAGATACACATCGTATCAGTCTGGCTAGCCAGGCAGCCAAGCCAGTACAGTTATTCTCCAGAGGCAGACTTACACTTCACTGACTTGTATAAAACTAACAATTTGAAACATAAAAAGGCTATTGTACCCTAGCTCACTTCATATAAATATACATGTATTAGTAGCAGGCATAGATACATTTTTTTTATCTAGATTAATTTTATTGTAATTTTGGAATTAATCTAGATTAAAATCCCTAATTTTATTTCTGCCAAAGGCATTCATGATATTTGTATGCTACCTTCAGAATTTGAAATAACAGCTTAACTTTTTTTTATGTTTGCTTCTTACTTAAGGTTTTGACAAAGATATTAATACTTTTTTTGCTCACTTCCAATTATAAACTTTGGGGCAACAGCGTTTGAGGATAATACTAAAATCTGTGTTTAGAATATCTTTTGTGATGTGAAGATCCCGAGGTTTTTAAAAATGTATCATGGCTCTAGCTCTAGAAATGAAATAGACTAAACAAATACCACAGAAGCTACATTTTAAAAACTCATCCTGCTTTACCCACATTCAGCAAAGCAATCACCAAGAGGCAAACATAACATTCTGGTAATCATTTGTGATGTCGTTGTAAAGTGAAATTTAAAATTACAAAAATATAGCATGCCTAAAGCGAAGGAGCTAAGTTCACAGCTGGCATCGATGAGGTGTACAGTAACGCCGAGGTAATTATCAGCTTTAGGTGGTACTAGAGACTGGAAGAACTCCTGCAGTGAACCAAGGTGCAAACAGCTTTAGTCTTGTCGAGTTTTTCATTGGAAAGTTTCTTAAAAATAAATTTTCCTGAAGCAAACCCGGTGTCGTGCCAAGGTAGATATCCCCACCAGAATTTGCATCCCCTCGCCCAGAGCACGCACAGAGTAGGTGCTGATCGAGTTCACTACGCCTCAATTCCATAAGGGTAGTACAGCATACAGAAATTGTAGTCAATATAAAACACAAATATATGCACCCGGGGAGCAGTGTGGAGTCAAGGGACTTGCTCAGAGACCCAGAATGCCGGCTGTGGGGTTCAAACTGGGTACTTGCAATTTTCTCAGAAGACAAGCTCGATCCTCTAACCATTAAGCCTGTCATGATGTTACAAAGTTCAGACCCAAATTCAGGAAACCGAACAGAGAGACCAGGGAAAAGGTTTAACGGGTTTTATTGAAGAAGTTTAGCAGAGGGAGAAGTGTTGCTCTGAACACTGCTCAACCAGAACTGTAAAGTGAGGGGAAGACACAGCGGTTAGTTCAGGCTCAGTGGGGAATACTGTATGACTCGTGAACTTGGAGAAGAGGATTTGGTTGCCTACTCACGTTTCCAGAGAAGTTGTTAAATCCTTGACTCCTGTCTTTGTGCCGTGGTTCCAGTGTTTGTCTAATTCGGTGGAGGGCGGAACAGGGTTTACTCAGAATGCGGTTGAAAGTTGGTGAACGGAGAAACTGACTGCCACTCAGATTTCCTGCGGTACTTGAACGGATCGTAGTGGAGAATAATCCCTTTCTCAGTGAGAAGCTCAGACGATCTCTTAGGAAAATGGATCCAAACATCCTGTTTGAACACCATCTCAGTTTGAAGCTCAGTTGATCCTTCCAGGGAGTGAAGGTCCTAGAAATCCAGTTTGCAGGATGACTTCCTGCCGAGAGGCAAAGACAAAAACAAAGTTAAAACTTAGGCCCCGTCCACACGAAGTCAAAACGAACACGAAACGCTGATATTTTCCAAAACGTTTGCCGTAAAGACGGAGACGTAAAATAAATGTGAGCGTCCACACGAATGCATGAAAACGCTGCAAAATGTATGCCAGGCCTGTAAGTGGCG